ACGCCTGGATGATTTTTTTTTTTTGATTTATTGTAGAGATGAGGTCTTGCTGCCCAGGCGGGTCTCGAACCCACGGGCTCAGGCAATCCACTCACCTCAGCCTCCCAAAGGCGCGGGATTACAGGCTGGGCCACTGAGCCCGACTCTCCCCACATCTTTTTAAAAAATTTTTTAATAATTATTTTAGCTTCTTTTTCCACCTCAAATTCATGATTTGACACTTACTTTAGAAACACAAAAAGTTAGAACCGGCAGGGACACAAGCGGGGCCGGTGTCATTTTTTAACGTAGCTTCTCTCAATCTTTATTTAGTGGACTTGTGCTGGATCTGGGATGCGAAAACCTGACTCTACCATTTTCTTGACAAGTGACCCTAGACCAGTCACACCAGCTCTTTGAGACTCAGATATATCTGTAAAATGAAGATATCTGATCTACCAACTTCACAAGGTTGTTTTAAAGGTCTAACATAAATTCTAAAGTACTAAGTGATGGTCTTATATACAGCAGAGTTTCTCCCACCCTCCCATCCCCATGCAATTCAAAGGTATAACTCTCTGTACTTAAGAGAATTAGACTGATTGCTCATTTTATTCACTTCAGATGGCTTTTTGGGTTTGGAACTTTCTGCTACTTCTTCCTGCCATATTGGAAGAGGCAAGATATCTGGGATCATCAGGTTCTACCCAGTGCTTGAAGGCATGACTTAAATCATTAGCTGTTTATCTCACATAGAAAGTGTAAAAAAAAATTTGTTGGCAAAATGAATGAATATTCATTTTTTAAATTTCAGTAAGAATGTGGTAGCTTTTGGTTATTGTTGTATACACATCCATGCAAATTTGCTCGTACAATTTCAACCACATCCCCCAATACAACTTTCTACCATGCTATTTTCTCCAAATATCTAAGTACCAACATAGGTATGCAAGCCATCTACCATTAATATTTTTCACATTTATTTGCTGAATGTATGCTTTAGACAGCCTTAAAAAGATAATCTATCTGGTAAAGAGATCCATTAGTCCTCAAAATGTCCTCACCTTTTAGTGTTAGAACAAGAATAAAGATTTTTGCTTCATTTGTGTACTACACAAACGAGATGAACTAATTGCATATCTGCTGTGAAATAATGTCTGTTATTACATGGATAACTACACAGTAACTCCATTAGAAACACTAGTAATTACACAGGATGTTACATTAATGCACCTGTGTTATCTTCTGATTGCCATATCAGTAATTCAAGTGACCTCTATAGATGTTTCTCATCATCCTTTTATTATTCTAGACCTCTCCTTAACACTTTGCACTCTTAGGAAAACAATCGAACTATGTAGTTAAAACTATTTTTAAAAAAGAAGAAGAAAAGAGAATCCAAAGTGACATCCTATGGCACATTTGTTGTTTTTTTCCTAATTTTCCTTTACCTGACACACATAAACAACTTTGGAGCCACACTTCATTACCTTCTGTGCAAAGCTAGAACTATTTTCACTCTGTGGAGAGTGGCAGTAATGTTTGATTTTTAAAAATTTAGAAACCTGTCTGGTTCACAAACAGAATCAGAGCATAAAAGGACCTAAGTTCACTCTATAAAACATCAATCAAGTTTTATAACACTAACACGTGTAATAATGGAAAGTACATATTTGCTGCTAAAACCTGAGTTGATTCCCAGTCGATTTGCATCTGGGTACACTAAACTTAACTTTTCTACAGTCAATCTAAGTCATGTCCTTTCCCTCTCCTTACAAGCCCCCATTCAACTAAAGCAACATCAGCCCGGGAGATGAAACCCCATCAGCATTTTCATAGTTAATGACAAGGTTACAAAACAGAAAATAACAGCAGGAATCTGAAGCCAGTGCTTTTATTGGACTAACTAACGATATAAATAAAATGGTCCCTTACTGAGCTTCAGAAAATCACTGTCTCTTTATCAGGCCATAGAAAACAGATCCAGGAGGGCAATAAATACAGCACATAACAGAGTGGAATTAAATGATTAGGCCTGAATTAACACCCTGTTTCTGGGTCTCACTTAGTGTTCCATGGCCCCAATGAAACACTGCAATTCACAAACGCTCAAGGCCCATTTAATTTTTATTTCAAGCTAGTTCAGAAGAAGGGTTTACCTATAACTCCCCCCATTCCATTGTATAACTCTTGAAGTAACAACACTGATCCTGTCTAGATAGCTGTTAGGAAAACAGACTGTTCTATAGGAATCACAGTGTCTATTCAGAATCCTGCCTCTAAGAAGTCACATTCATTAAAAGGGACCCAATCTCTAGCTCTGTGAGTGACAAGGCTGCCCTTGATGGGAAAATAACAAATTGATGAAACGCATTTGATTATTTTCCATGGTATTAACTACAGAATTCAGCAACTGTTAGCTCAAATTTTTTACTTTTTCAACTGTGGATTTAGCATGCCAAAGATCCTAATTAAATGAAATTTAATATCACCTTGGAAGATAATACATGGAGATTCTATTCCCTAGTACACCATATACTATATGATAAGGTGGGTGAATTTAACTTAAACCCTATTTGAGGGAAGTTAATTCTGTTCTACACCTTTCTACACAATGGCTCTAGAGTGAGAAATCCAAGGATGGCATTACAGGAAGGCTCCACTGTACCAGTGAAGTACTTAGAAATTTCAGATGAAATACGCAGCCAGATGAAACCGAGCCATTAAGTTCACTTTGTATGGGGGGGGCGGTCCAAAAATCCCAGAATTTATTTATAAAACATTACATATTTATTCTTACATATTTAGGCTTCAGTCACCTTCAAAATTCTCTTAGTTTTATGAAATACACCTATTGAGATGCTTTTCTATTGTTCAAAACAATTTTTAAACTTACCAATTTTGATGCTTTTTAGTGCTTCTGTTGTTTTTTGTTTCACCTCTTCAACATCGGTAAAACATTTCCCTTTGAGAATTCTTTTCATCCAGGGAAACAAACAAACAAAAAATTGCTCTGGATGAGATTGGATGAATAAAGAGGGTGGTATAAGGGAGTCATGCTGGTTTTGGTCAAAAACTGCTGAACACTCAATGCAGTGTGGACAGGTATGCTCGTAAATCACTCATCATGAAATGGGCAAATGTTTTGAAAGAATCTTCAAGGAAAAATTTACTGAAGCCAAATGCAGCCTCTCACAACAATGCTAGCTGGTACACTAATGCCAATGGGTTCCTAGAACACTTACCTAGCAAGGGAAGCCTGTACCACAAGATGCCTGCCCTCCAAAAAATAATTCTGTTTTGTGGGGGGTTCCCTCTCATGTATCTTCGACTTGAAATGGTATATGAGATGGAGATATATTTATAAGACAAAGTTCTCAAGAGTCAAGATGTAAGGGAGCTAATGGTTTTGAGTACTTCCTAGCTGCTGTGTGCCATATTTTTCCTCTCATTTAATCCCCACAATATCCTCTAAAGTATATATGAACATTCCCATTCACAAATAAATAAATTGAGACTCAAAGAGTAGAGCAATAATTGCCCAAGTTTATACAGAATAGTTAAGTTGCGATTCAAATGAAGATCTAGCTGATTCCAAAGACAGACCTTTCTATCATCAATACTATGGTATCACCTGCTTAGGACTCTTGGCCCCACTGAAGCTTTTACTTAGAGTATTCTAGAACAACCAAAGAAATCAGCTATCAAATAGAAGAACGATAAGACTAATTCAGTATAATCTCAAAGGGTAGAAAAAAACTCAAAGGATTTTGGCTCTTATAAAGTTCCAGCAGATCCAGACAGTTAATGAGTTGAGGAGCTCTCATCTGGAATTAGATTAATCTGCCGGTCTAAGACTGCTTCAGAGTGTGAACCATTGCGTCAAGGGAGTCCAGACTCTATGATCACCCTGAAGGAGTATCATGAGCCCTAACTGGAATAGAGCAGGCAGGATCTTCCATACTCTCAAGAATACAGAGTTTGACCAGGTCCAACTTTTCTGTCCCAGTCAGTTCAGTATAGCACATAGTTATGTATATTATAGGAAGGGACACCTAATAGATTAAACTTTTTTCCACTTGGTACTTTTGGACAACAAAATTACTGTAATCCCAGGTCAAATTTATGTCTAAGTACCTTCAACACAAACACATGCTAACACACAACATAGTTCTCTCATAAAGCAATCTCTCTTAAAAGGCCTGGGCATTGAGGACTGCACTATGTAAAAATTACACAATAATTAAAAAATTCTAAAAAGGTAATCATTAGAACGCTTACTGGTGGTAGATTCACATTAACATAAGAGTGTTGAGTTGTATCTATCTGTTGAATTATTATTAGACACTCAATGGCCAGGAAAGTGTCTAATTTCATGTTCTGTGCAATATCCTTGTACATTATTAGTACCCAATAAATTAATTAAAATGTATTTGACACTCCAATTAATGTTACATGGTAATAATTACGTCTACTCCATTATAAATGATAAATTCCTTAAAATTTTATGTTTTAAGAAAAGGTCTTTGTTTACCAAAAAGGAATATGAAAATAATTTAAGTGAGTTAATTTGAATCATTAATTTTTTTTTTCCTTGACCAGCAATTCTTCAGCAAAGATTCAGATTACAGGGATTATTCTTGGTTATGATTTTTTACAGTAACTGTTATAACTTGTTAGGCCCTCCATATCCTCTGGCCTAGACTAAGACACAATCTCAAGCCTTCCTTTCACCTTCACTTTTTAATATTAAGTGAAGTAAAGTCTATCTCACAATAGTCATGTCAGCAATAAGAGCCAGACATGTCTTTGAACTCGAATCCTTGTCTACTTGACTACACATCAAACCATAGTTTTAAGTAGCTTGTTCGGTAGACAGGACCACTGGGGCATTTTCTCTACCCATTTGCTTGTTTAAGTGATTGTTTTTGTACGTTGGAGGCAAAATTTAAGTTTTAAAAATCCATATAAAAATGAAATAAAACTGGGAATAAAATTATGGACTATCAGAAGTTTTTACTTTCATCTTACTACAGAAACAGCATGTACTGTAATCACAAAGAAGGCTTCATTTAAAATTGTGAAGTGCCTGGTCTGCATTTCTTAGCACAAAGGGGACCCCCAAAAAACCCAGAATTTATTTATAAAAAATTGTGTATTTATTCTTACATGTTTAAACTTCAATCTCCATCAAAATACTCTCCTTTTCATGTAATGTACCTATCAAGACACTTTTCCACCATTCAAAACAGTTTTTGAACTCATCATTTTTGATGTCTGGTAGTGCTTCTGGCATTTCTTCCCCACCTTTTCCACATGAGCAAAATTTTTTCCTCTGAAGACTTTCATCATCTGGGGAAACAAACAAACAAAAAAAGATGCCAAGATGAGATTAGGTGAATAAGGAGGGTGGGACATGGAAGGCAGTCATGCTGGTTTTGGTCAAAAACTGCTGGACACTCAGCACAGTGTGGGAAGATAGTTTGTGTAAATCATCACGAAAGGTAAAAGTGTTGAAAGAATCTCAAAAAACAACAACAACAATAATAATTAACTGAAGCCTAACGCAGCCCCTCGCAACAAAACTAGCTGATACACTGATGTTGATGAGTTCCTAGAACACTTACCTAGTAGGGGAAGCCCGTATTACAAGAGGCCCACCCTCCAAAAAATAATTCTTGCGTTGTTTGGGTCCCTGCTTTGTAAATGACAAACTGTGGAAAAGAGCCGGTTACGTGATTTTTTTTTTTTTTTTTTTTGAGTTGGAGTCTCACTCTGTCGCCCATACTGGAGTGCAGTGGCCGCTGCCGGCCACCGCAGCCTCGACCTGCTAGGCTCCGGCAATCCTTCCGCCTCAACCTTCCGAGTAGCCAGAATTACAGGCATGTGCTACCACGCCTGGCTGATTTTTTGACTTACTGCAGAGATGAGGTCTCGCTGCCCAGGCGGGTCTCGAACCCGCGGGCTCAGGCAATCCACTCACCTCAGCCTCCCAAAGGCGTGGGATTACAGGCTGAGCCACCGAACCCGGCTCAGTCACATGATTTTTAAGCGTATGACTCTTCTGTAACTTAGTTTCTTGGTCTAACATGAGGATTGCAATACCTTGCAGAATTGATAAGGAACTCAAAGGACATTAAAAATGTGAATTGTATTCTTAAAAAAAAAACATAAAGTGGCATGCAAGTATGAGGCATTACTATTAATACTTCTCGGTAAAGACTGACCTGGATTTTAAGTTCTTATCCTTGCTGTGTCACTTTTTATTATCCATTGATTAAAAACCCTGCCCCTCTGGCTTTATTTCAGACTTTGTAAACTTGGGCCTCCTTACAAAACTTAATCACTGATCCTGTAAAATTTAAACTTCTAATGCCAAACTACAAAGTCACTTCTAGAACCACATTCTCTGACTACCTTCAAATCTTCAACTCCTGTCTTTTGATCTAAGCCCTTTCATTTGAGCTTGACAACGTATTTTCCTTTTGGCTTGGATTTTGCAGAAGTAAAATTGTGCAGCAAAGTGTTTTGACAGATCCTCTATTTTTCTGATGTAACACTAAAGAAGCTATCCTTTCAGGCAAACATGCAAACTCACTGTATCAGGAGGGTAGGGGGGGAGTCTCAGCTCAAAGTTCCTTTTTATTACAAGGGACTTATTGTTATTGATTTGAAACTATTCTGTTCACCTATGATATTTACTTACCTATTATCATCCATCTCTCTCTTCTGAAATGTCTGTTGCAGGAGAGAAGGAGCAGTGTTTATCTTCTTTCACCACAATCCCTTGGGCCTAGAAGACTTCCTGCAACATAGTGAGAAGCCCAATAAACAGTTGTTGAATGACCAGATGAATTGCTACAAATAGAAAAGGTCACATTCGATATCACTAAAGCATTTAGGTCTGAATACAATTTTTATTCTTCCCCCAATAAAGCATAACACTTATTTAAGCTCTTACAATAAAAATTTCACCAGCTAGGTCCTTAGCAATATTAATTCCTTAGTTCTATCACCATCGTTCTCAGGGCCTGAGGCTGGGCCAAACATGACTGAGGTTTTCAAAAAATATATTTTTAATATAATTTTAAAATATACTCACTAGGGGAAGGCTCATAAAATTCAGCTTCAGCCACAATCTGGACTATAGGCTGCCAAGTGCTGCATAAATAAATCATCAAGTCATTTTGGCATCCTGTGGGCCAGAAGGAATATCTTCCTCAGTAGATTTAAAGAGACACGGTTCTGAAAGAAACAGGAGCAAAGTGAGTGATTAAATATGTACTCTCTTATTATTCCTCTGGAGTTTGGATAGATTCCTTAAAGTAGCAATTGTCCATTTTACCCAGGGCAGGTTCTTTTTCTGTCTTCAATTGGAATCCATTTCAGAGTTGAAAGAATCCATTCTAACATCTACAACAAATGCCCCTATCTGTTTTGCAACTATTGGTACACTTAAAGGAGAAAAAATACAGCAGTCAGAAGAGGGTTATGAGGCAGCTTGTAACCATGTACGTGCAGCATGGATTCAGATAAGTCAGAGGTCATGCTCAGTCGGGCAAAGGAATCCCTGAGACAGTGGAGGGTGACCAGTGTGATGCAGGAGTCTGGGGAATGCTGCTTGGTAGAGTCTGCATTGGTAGCCCAGGCTGAGTGTCCAGATTAAAGCTCACCTGGGCAACACAGACACATACACACACACACACACACACACACACACACACACACACACACACACACACACACACACACCCCTTCCCTGGTCCAGTCTCCCTGACTATTTTAAAATCTAATTCAGTCTGCTCCCTGCTCTTTGTATACTTGCCTGGATGAATAACAGTGGATAGAAATGATGGATCTGTGTCCTGTGGATTCAGAAGTCAGGAGTCTGAATCCTTCTCCTGACCTCCAAAAAGGAAAAGAAAAAGCTCTGAGGTTTGCAGAAAGATCTTTTTCCACATGGTTCGTAAAGAGACTGTAACTGAGGGCCAGCGGGGGCAAAAATTGTAGTATATCTTTTCAGAACTGTTGATTAAAATAAGGTCCCATTGATGCAGGCATGCATAAACCCTAGCTCATTCAGAGGAAGGCCTTAAGATTTGATGTATGAGGTACCTGTGGGAACACACATTCAGACACAGAAACGTCAGCAGGCCCTCGTGTACTCTCTCATATTTATTCTCTCTCTCTTTCTCTCACACACACACACACACACACACACACACAGCAATCCCCTTCTTGACAAGCATCCCTTTTTTGCTGCTTTGTCTTTCATGTAACCATAACAAAAAATTGTATACAATTCCTTTTGTGCTTTGTATTTACTAAAACCTGCCAGTTTGATGCTTATTCCCAAGAAATTTCTTATCTGCCCACTATCTGTATCTGTCTTAGTCTGTAGCTGATAGACCCTCCTTGGGTTATTAACCAGTTCGTTTCTTCCAGAAAAGAGGTCATTAGCATCTAACATTACTCAGGGATGTCAGGAGATGCAGGTATCAGATCCTCTCATACTGGTTTATCTTTAATTTAATCTCTAGATTTTTCAGCTCTAGCTGTCGGCTGGCTTCCACTTAATAACACATTTTTATCTGGTGGTGGTGATGGTGGTGTCTCTCTTTTTTTTCTTTAAACAACTCAATAACCAATATAATGATGACAGAACTGACAAATTCTGCATTAATGGATTTCCTTCCCATATCTAGGCTCCAAGCTGCCAAAAGCTAGAAACGAAATAGATTCCAGGCAGTTACAGGTTAAGGATCATTTGCATAAATTAGCAAGTTTTGCAAATGAATTCATCTAGTGAGAAGTAAGACACGGGACACTGCATTTTAATAATTGACATTCCACATGAAATGCAATGTTCTTGAGGAGGAAATTGAGCTCCAGGTTGCTATTAGAACCAGCAGACCAGCACGAGTCGAAAGAAATGCCATCCCCCATTATGTGAGCTACTGCTCCTGCATAACAACTACCCATTCTGATGGACTTCTTTTAATAAAAGTACTAGTGCATGCTCACTGAGAGGAAGAATCTACTCATCAGAGAGGAATCTACTCATCAGCAGGATTGAGCAGGAAATGAAAATAAAGGGTTCTTTAGGAGGCCGCCTTAATGTGCAACCAGCAACTCTACATTTTCTTTCTAAAGTAATTTTTCATTTTCCTTCTAATCTGGCAGCATCCCCCCGCCCCCTTTCCTCCCCCCCTCCCCGCTTATGAAACACTTAGATTATTTAAATATATACAGAGTGTGAGTAAAAGTTTTAAATTACCCAATTTGGATGTTGTCTCTCATAACGTTGGTTAAAGTACAAATAAAGATAAGTAGACCATTTTGCTGCCTCCTCCTGGCTTAATTTGTTTAAGAACATGCCGCATTGCTAACACTAGTGAGAATGCCAAATGAATGCCTTTCCTAAGGTGTTAGTCAAAGTCAGGGTATCCAGCATGTCAGAAGTACAAACTGCTCACACATGCAATCTGAGAGCTGGAAACAAGTCCATCCATAACAGTGTTTCCTGGCATAATTTATAATTAACATAAAATGAATTAAATCACTCACTCGATAGACTTTTTTCCAAGTTCATATAGAGTAAGTGTGTCATATCAATTAATTTTCAATGAACTGCGGCAGCTGATAAAATTTCTCCCAGACACTGGTAATAATCCAAGATATTGATGGAAGAGGTATCATCATTAATATGAGTATAAGCCTCGAATCACGTACAGGAAACAGGCAGAAACAGTTTATTCCTTGGAAAAGGAACATGATTATTGTTAGCTGCCTGTTGTTCTTTCCAATTTGTTAAGCTATCTATTGGTTCTCACTTTTCACATGGATAGCCCTTTAATTTTGCCTACATAGCTATCAATAAATGCCTCTAGTGCAACTGTCTGTTTTTGTGGGCTATCTAACCTGAAAAAGTTAATACACATGAGCAAATTAAACAGATTCAAATAGATAGGATAGATTCTATTGCCCATTTAATTGAGACATTTTCAGTGGCTTTTCTACATGCTCACAACCACAAATAATTGACATATAAAAATTAATGCAACTAAATCTTTGGTTTGTAGAATTCAAATAGGCATAGTTACTGACATTTTGGTGGAGGTTTTTGTTTGTTTGATTTTACTGAATTAGCCAGTTGTTTTTGGCACTATGGAGACAAAGCCCAAGTGCCCCATATTTATTTGCTGATAAGTTATTTTATAACAAAGAAACCAATGACCGTTTGATTCATCACTTCCAGAGCTTGTGTTAAATGATACCTCACTAATTTCCCTAGTTTTTTCCTCCATCATAACACCTGTTAGCCAGAAATGTTTTGGTTTTATACACATTTTTCTTTTACCAAGGGAATACTAGTTGGTCCTAGAGTTAAATATGTTTGCTGGTTTGAGAGGACAATCCTTTGTCTATGTCTCTAGTTGCATGCTTATGGCAATATCAAATAAAGAAATCCTGACGAACCCGCTGATATGTGATATGAGTTGCTGTGGCTCTTCTCCCAATAAAGGGTGTGTTCAGACTTGGCTTATTTATAGACCAATAAAGAGAAATTTCCACTGTTCTCTTCAGCAGGCTGAGGATAAATAGCTCTTCCGTTTCTAACATTTAATGTTCAGAGACACAAAAACAACTGCTCTGAATATTAAGCCAACGTTCGTATTTTTTTTCCTACAAAGGGGAGAAATCCTTGAATATGAAACAATGAAAGGTTCAGATATAATCTTTCCCATTTTAGAACTGCTTTATTGCAACTTGTTTTCCTTAACAAAGAGGCACTCTGGGCTTAATTTGGTTACTAGGTGAAGCATCGACTCACGTGCTTCAATAATTTTCTCCGTGACCTGAGAGTTTAGGGCTGCCTGGAATTAAATCCTGTTCCTGAAGACAGTGCAGCCATAGCACCAAATGTCCTCTGATGAGGCTGTAACTAAGGTCAAGCTGCTCTTCATGAGTATGTGTGCAGCAAATGCCTTTTATTTTCACATTCTAGAACAAGAAACAGCATAAATTATTCCTAATTCTTGATTCTGTGATGAAGTAGCCATCTGGTCTGATAGTACGGTGACAATGATATAGGAGTGAACACTCTATGCTTGGTCTATTGCACACAAAAGGACAATAGGACATATTTTAAAATGTCAGGATCCATCAGAACCATATTCAGGAAAGTTTACATTTATGAAAATAGATAGTATCGAAGATACATCATGATGCAAATCTAATCATGGCTGCTGGGCAGCTGAATTAAATTAAGAGCAAATCGGAACCTTTCTAATTAAAAGTGTGTTATTCCTTTTCCTGCTATGTTTTCCATGACTGTAAAAAGAATCATTATTATACTACTTTTAAAAAGTTGCATCACAAAGGGTGTTGACCTGTCTGCCTCTCCTTTGACATGCATACGTGGAGCTCTTAGGCTATAAGCATATGGCAAATTTGGCTATTTCCAGTCAGTTGTTAGGGAAAATTGTGTTTACTACAATATCTGTGCTCATCACTAGATAAGGTGTATGTGTCATCAGTGTGGGGGCTAATAAGAAAACACAATTATGTGATCACAAGGTGCATCATCAGAGCAATAAGAGGTAATTTTTTTAATGGCCTCCATTTAATACATTTGTTCTGTCCACTTTTTTATTCAACAAGCATTGACTAAGTACTATGCATGTATCAAGCACTGAATTAGGTATCTTATGGTAGTCTGGGGGAGGAGAACAATAATATATTTTGAAAGTCCTAATGTGGTTGATGAGCATTGCTTTCGGAGGAATGATTTCCCGATGCACATTCAGAAGCAGTCTCTGGATCACTCCTGTAGGAAAACAGTCAGATGACTACCAGGGCTGCAGGAGCTTGGTGGGGCAGATGAAGGCTGATAGAGGCTGACCTGCTCATTGGGTGTTGTGGGTGCTAACTCAGTTATAGAAGCTGGTGTAGGCACAGAGTCCAGAGGATCCAGGAAATACAGCCATGATTCCGGCAGTCAGGACCAGGAGGTCTAACCCAATGTGCGGAACACAGCCTCGGGATCTGAGTAATAATGAGTGCCTCCAAGACTTAGTTGAGGATAACTTTGAATGAAATTGAGCCTTTATTATCTTAATTTCTAATAGATACATGACACTGAGAAGACCTCAGTATTCTTACTTTTTGGGTCCCAGATATTGGGAAATGGTCTTTTTTTTAAATTAAAAAGGAATTCTCATATTC